ATATATATAATAGATAGATAGATAGATAGATAGATAGATAGATAGATAGATAGATAGATAGATAGATAGATAGATAGATAGATAATATATATATATATTATATTATATATATATATCATCGCAATATCATATCATATATCATATCATATATCATATATCACATATCATTATCATATAATCACGCAATAGTGATTACTAATGGATAAATATATACAACATTCACTATGTATAGTGCTCCGTGGCTCACTCATGATCATAACGTGGTTACGCACGCACGCACAAGTACGCACGCACGCGCCCGAAAGTACGCACGGCGAGCACCATACGCCTGCAAGTACACACTCCCGCACTCAGCCACACAGCGCAAGTACGCAGGCACTACGCACGCACAACAGTGGTTGTTGTGCACGCGCAAGTACGCACGTAACGTACGCACCGCACACGCGCAAGTACGCACGTACGAGGGGGGGGGGGGGGGGGGGGGGGGGGGGGGGGGGGGGGGGGGGGGGGGGGGGCCACGCAGCACGCGTAAGTACGCACAGTACTACGATGCCGCACGGGCTCCACCCTTTGTATCGACTGTTATCACACGCCTATTCATTTTACTTGGTAGAGGCACCCTATAGTAGGATGTATAGTTCTCTCCTCTCTGCACGTCTCCCTCTTTGGTCTCCCTCTCTTCCATGCGGCCTTCTTCCCCCTTCTCTCCATCTCGCTGCTTCAGCTCTACGTACGTCTACTGCGCACAGCGAGGAAGCGATGGTCTCTCTCATCTCCAGTCATCTCTCGTCATCGAATCTCTCTCTCATCAGTCATCATCTCTCTCTGCTCTCTGGCTCTTCCGCCCTCTCAATCCACCCCCTCTACATTCACTCTTTTCTGCTTACCTCTTGTCTTCCATTCTGCGCCGCTCCACTGCTCGTCTCTCTGCTCAACGCTCGTCTCAGATCACGCTCTCCGCTCTCTCTTCACTCTCTCAGCTCTGCCCCTCTCCTTCTACTACTCCATCCTCCCTTTCTTCCTCTCTCTTCCCTATCAATCCCTCCCCTCTCTCGCTCTCGTCTCTCTGCGTCGATCTCTCTCTCCTCTCTCTCCCTCCCCTCTCGCGCAACGCTTCTCCCCTTCCCACTCTCTCTCACTAACCCTCTCTGCTTACCCTCAGGGAGACTGTCGGGCTGATGTAGGGTAGATCGAGCATTTCCTTTCACTCCATACTTCCAGCCATTTGATCCTAGTCGTCCACGGCGTATGGCTCTTAGCTCCGTCGTATGTTCGAAGTTGTCAGGATTAGCCAAGTGATCTCCTGTGTCGCATGTTGTACGCTCGCACATCGGAATTCTCACCGTTCAAAGTTGCAATCGCACGCTGTGACGGGTTAATTGGGTGTATGTACACATACCTGTGGCGTAAAGGGGGGGTTTGTGTGTGTGGGGGTGTATGTGTGTGTGTGTGTGGTGTGTGTGTGGTGTGTGTGTGTGTGCGTGCGTGCCGTGCGTGCGCAGGTGTGCGGTGTGGGGGGGGGAGTGTTGACAACGAGCCCCTGGTGTTTGCGCGCGCACTGCACGCCACCTACCGGACTTAGGGAAGCTGCAGACGAACACGTCATCTGGCCTCGTCTCCATCTTCTCAACGACTTCTTTGTACTTGAAGAGACAGGGAATGATCCAGTAGCAGTCCTGGTATTTACACATCCTTTCCGTAACCGGTTCCATCTCCTCCATAAAGTTGTCTTCCTTCTCCTCCTCCTGCTTCTTCTCGTCGGCAGGGGGCGCTGCTGCGGCAAATCGCGCGATGACGGTGAATATTATTTAATTTTAATCATAGTTATTATCATGTTATTTAGTTATAATTATAGTTAATTATTGCGAGTAATTATAGTTAGTATAATAATAGTTAAGAATAATTACGCATAGAGTTAGTTTAGCGCCTTATAACTGGTGTATTTTCAACATTTGTAAGCATTGATTAGCGTATTGTAGTATTTATTTATATAATTAAAGTAGTCCTTAATGTTTTTGTAATATATAGTAATTAAAATAATTTAATAGCCTTAGGAGATTATACAGCGTGCATAGTAGTCGTTTACTAGTATAATAATNATATATAAAACAAGAACTACGTTGGCGCGAAGTGAAACAGTTCCACCCGTACGTTTCCTAGAAATCCTAACAACATGAAAGCAGCCAGATAGAGCGCTGGCCGGGCGCCGGGCCGGCTACTTCATAAACAGAGCCTGCAAAGGTCGTATGGCGCAGCGGCCGGCTTGTTATGTACTCGATGATCGCGTACTATTATAGTATACGCATAGCTATCGTGCTATACGCGCGCCGCAGAGCCGTTACACTTCGGCTTACTCGCTTGTTCAAAGGCGTACGATAATCGAGCATCCGTTTTGGAGTGCAGATTCCTAACACTTACTATCCAGTACACGACCACGACTACCTAGTACACGACACCAGTAAACCGACTGGTGTTCACATTTTCGAAAAACAATGTCATGAGCTTGCAAAGCCAATGGCGTACATGTATGCAACTGCAAGTCATTTGCATCTCGTGGCTCCTGATTTCAAGCTGTATACCCCTATATTAACTGTGAAAAAAAAATTTATATTCCTGCCTACCCATGTTTTGCAAAGGAAAAAAATAAAATAAAATAAAAATGTTTATCCTACCTAACGCGACCCTAATTTTCAAGCAATCCCATGTGACGCCGAACCAAAGGTATTTTTTTGTTTTGGCCCTGTAGGCATTTGCATAAAATCAACGACGGGAAAGAGAAAAAGATCGTAGAACCAGTTCACGTTCGAAGGTTTAGTGGTATACGTAAACAGATCAATAAAGTGAGCATGCAGTTCCTTGACACAGGCCCAGGGCACAGGCCCAGCGCAGGATGATTTTCAAGTTCTCATCATTCATAGATTGTCTAGTATTAAATTCCAACAAGTTATCTAGCGAGTTCTACTACTACAATATACTCCGCGTAAAAATGTCACAGTCGATTGAATTCAGAAGTGGGATAATTGATTATTTGATCATTGGCACTGACCCAAAAGACCAAACAAGTTTCGTGCCCAAATTAATCTTGCGACATCAACAACGTCATCATTGGCCAGAAGAACGAAATACGTATCACGCAGAGCGTTACCTCGCTGGTTGCGGTCTCACTAGCAACCCTCCACCTCTGGTATTCCCTCTAGGCTGACTCTGGCAGACATTTCAACTAGCCGTAATACTAGTCAAAATTCAATATATGAAACAAAAATATTTCCGTTGTTGTCGTAGTTGTTGTCACAGCTGATGCTGGCGAAAACACTGCCACCTACCGGGTGAACTATAAATGAAAATTACGCCTTTCTTTGTTTTTTATAAGATACTTGTGGTATAAAATGTAAACAAACTTATGGGTGTTTATAAATATTTTGGAACTCTCCTTAGGTAAATAAAATGACAAGAGTCGGATATTTGAATATTTTTTTTGAAACCCTCTAAAAGTGACCGCAGTCGCACATTTTATCACTCCGAAATGTGAAGTCGGGCGGGTGACCCGAACCAAAGGTAATTTTTAGGTCGGCCTAATATAAAGTCGTGCACAACAAACATTTGTCGATTTGGTTTGTTTTTGATTGGTTGGATGGAGTTCAAAGTAAGGGCACATTTATTATGATACTAAATGTATAAAAAAATCCTTGTGTTGCAGTGATAAATCGGTCGTGGAAAGTTTTGTTGGATTCATTCAAGATGTTGTACCCCAGGTAATGAATATACATGCAGGGTGCAAAATTAACGCGAGTCCGGAGTCAAATACTCCCTGATTTACTGTCGGACTCCCTGATTTGACATATGCAGGAGTCCGTGTGACTCCCTGAAAATTCTGTTATACTAACTAGTAGTAGTTCGTTCCAGAGCACGGCCTCGCGAATTACCGTATTTGTGACCCACTCCAGCAAAACCAGGATTAAGTAGGAAATTCTACAAATTGAGTTATGTGCATATCTGAATTTAGATAATTTAATTACCTTTAAAATGATATATAATCTTTGGCTATATCTAAAGAATTGACCGATCTACAGCAATTTGAAGATCGGAAACCGACTTATTCCGGAATATGCAGCTTTTGAGATAAAGCGTTCCGGGTAAGGGGTTTTAAAAAAAAATTAAAAATGACCATAATAATCTAGAGACATCTGAACCTTTATATCCGGATTAAATATGCACTTAGGAACTTATTTTTGTCCAGGTAGGCCATTTTCAGCATTGACATGTTTGCGTGCTCATTACTCAAAACAATCACTTGCGACTTAGTCCGTATTATGCTGGAGCGGGTCACATTTTTTCAGCAAATGTCCAAATAAAATTTGGCAGACATACATCGCATGAATCGCGATTCTTCAAAATAAGCACGTTATTGTTGTTATGCTTTAGTTTTGAACTTCAGACTGTGGACTCCCTCATTTTGCTACGGACTCGCTCTTTTTGAGGGCAGGGAGTCCGTTGGACTCCCTTGTTCAAAAGTTAATTTCTACCCTTGTACATGTAAATCAGCTTATCCTTAGTGAAGATAAATAATCATACTATATATCTCTTAATCTTTTTAAGTAGAATGTGGGATTGTATTTTCTTCTAAAAAACCTAGCTGTGTAATGAAGTGATTATTATACTTCTGTATGTCAGTTAGTTATGGTGGTAATACTAATATTAAGTGCAAATTAAGTATAGATATAGCTGCACTGTGTTCACATGCAGGTTTTGTATGTTTGGGTGTAGGACTGTAGGCCCACCGTTATATAACAATAAATGATGGTGATACATACATAATATACATAATATACATGTA